GTCCCCCCCCCCCCCCCCCCCCCCCCTCGGTTGCATCCGCTCCTGGCAGCTGCCGCCCCACAGCACGGCAGCGCCTCCCTCCTCCACCCTCGCCTCTTGCTTTCCAGGTGGCCGACTTTGGGCTGTCCCGCCCTACCTCCTCCCCGCTGTCCACTGTGCCGCGCCCCACGTTTGGCACAGGCACGCGCTGCTGGCGCTGACCGGCAGCGCTGGCCCCGAGCTCGACCGATCCATGGTCATGCGCATGAGGAGGCAGCAGCACAGGCCTGCCTTGGCCTCGGGCGGCACCCTGCACAGGCCCATCCTGTGGTACCCGCCAGGCTGGCGTCACGGTCCCCTCCAGTGACCCGCTTTCTTTCTTTACCCCCCGCTTTCCTCCACCTCTTTCCTCCTCGCAGTGACCCACATGGCTCCCGAGCTGCTGGCAGCCGACGAGTCTGCAGCCTCACCCGCCTCCGACGCCTTTGCCCTGGGCGTGGTGCTGTGGGAGATGATGGCGGGGCGGCGGGCGTGGCGCGGCATGGGGCCGCTGCAGGTGGTGCACACGGTGGCGCTCAAGCGCCGCTGCCTGCCGGTGTCAGACCGGTGGCCCGAGGGCATTCAGGCGAGCATGTGTGTGCGTGTGTGCGTGTGTGTGTGTGTGTGTGTGGTGGTGGTGGTGGTTGTAGCGGACAGGCGCCAAATCAGCACGCCACGTCAGCAGCCACCCCAGCGGGCACAGCGGGCAGGATTCGTGCCCGGGACGTTGCCTGCATGACGCAAGTGTGCCACGGTGTGGCTGTGTGGTGCTTGCAGGAGCTGGTGCGCGGCTGCCTGGCGGGAGATCCTGGCAAGCGGCCCACGGCAGAGGGCATCCTGCTGCGGGTCCAGGTTGAACTGGCACAGCACGAGGAGCGCGCCACTGGCGCCGCCGCGGCGTGAGCCCCAGGAGAGCGGCGACTGAGCGGGCGGGATTGATGCGCTCAGGGGGGGGAGAAAGGGGGGGCTGGTCCGCCGCTGCCATGAGTATGTTGCCCATGCACAACCAGGCACACGCATTCGCCGCACAGGGCTGCCAGCTGCAGAGGGCTGATCAGACACCTGCATGCGCGCCGCGTCCTCCTGCGCTCGCCGCCGCCGCCCGGCCGTTGCTACCCTGGCACACCGGCTCAGAAATGTAGCATGGCAATGGGAAAAAGGGGACGGGGTGACTTTTGGAGGGTGAAATTGGCAGGGAGCAGCGGCGATGGCACGGCGCGGCGGCGGGCATGGCTCAGCACGCTGGGCATGCTTTCGATATCATCGATAGCATCCTCCTTCTCCGTCTAAGGTCACGTCCGAAATCCAGGCGCGAGCCACCGATTCTGCCAAAGTTCTGTGCCACTGGTAGACGCTGGTTGGGTACTCTGCTCGCCTGGTGCGCTCTACTGCGGGCACCAGGTGCGCATGCAGCAGGTTGTGCGGGGAATTTTGCGTTTAAGTGCAACTGCCCCCCATCGGTGAACACCCTTTGTGGGCGTACCAGGCGCTCACGGGGGTTGCAGAGGCGTTCGCCGCCCAGATTTTGGTCGTTGATGGCTAGGCAAGGCTGTGAGAAGTTCGCGGGGATGGCCTGTGAAGCCCAGCCCGCGGCCTCTGGGGGCGGTGCCCTGCCGCCACCACTACCGCTGCTGCGGGTGCGGCGCTGCCGGCGGCATGTGACATGCACAATTTGGCTGCTGCTGCCTCCCCCCTGCAGCCCACTAAGACCTCTGTGATCGCTGTCATGCTCCCTGATGCCAACCCAGTCCCGAGCGCCGGCGCACTCGTAGCGTCAAAGCGTTAACAGCTCTGCTGCTCCTCTTTGCCATCCCCAGCGTGAGTCTGGAGCTCAATTCACGCCCCCGAGTCCCCAACAGCCGCCATCGCCGTTTCAGGCCGCGTTGACCATGGGAAGCGGTGGCGGCGGTGCTGCCGCTCGAGCCGCCGCCTGTCTCCTCCTCCTGGCCGCCGTCGCGCCGCTTCTGGCAGCAGCTGTGGGCGACCCTTGCGCCGACGGTGGGTGGGCCAGCGCAGCGGTGCCGCCCAGACCTGCCGGCATGCATGTGTGAGCCCAGTGGCGCCACTGGCCCCAGGCGGGGAGGCGCACCGCTGTGAGCCGCACCACGTCTTACGCCTGCCCGTCATGCCTTGTGCAGCCTGCCAGTCTCTGGAGCTGGCACAGCCCAAGAGCCCGGAGACCGACACCTCCACTGGTTCGCCAATGCATGACCAGCACAGCTTCATTGCAACTGTATGCAAGAACGGCCCTGGCCCCGCCAGCTGCACGGCCGGCTGCCCCTGCCGCCGCCGCCTCGCCGCGCAAAGCGGCGCTATGCGGCGCTATGCGCGCAAAGCGGCGCTGCGCTACGCACATGCTGGCCATGACCCGCCTCCTGACCGCACGCAGCGACCAGCGATCCGTGCACCACCCTGAATACGGAAGCCGTGCATGTGTGCACAGGAAGCCTCCTCATCCCGTACGCATAGGCCCCGCGCTGACTTGCCCGCCCATGCATGCGTACCGTTTTGCTTGCTCGTCTTGCCCGCAGCACTGTCCGACATCCTCCTCCAAGTCGTGGACGCCGCCAATTACGTCATCACTGACGTGCCCTTCATCAACATCGGCGTCATGGTGCTCCGCGGCACCATCGACCGCCTCAAGTGCGTGAGGGTCCTTACAACACATGCAAGCATGCTTGTGGTGGCCCTCGCTGCCCCTTGAGCCGCCGGGGCATCTGGGCCACTCACACCCACCACTGGCCTGCCCAGCCCGCGCCCTGGGCCTGTGCCTGTGGTCCTGCCGAAGCCGCGCACTGCCCTGTCTCCCTCCTGCAGCAGCGGAGACGACATCTACACGCAGGGCAAGTGGCTGCAGTACAACCTGCAGCGCGACATCAAGCAGCTGCAGGACTGGCTGGGCTGCCGGCTGGATGGCCTGGCGCACGACATCATGTGGGTGTGGGTGTGGGTGTGGTGTGGGGGCAGGCGGCCTGCTGGGCTGGAGCCGGCACACGTGCTGAGCCTGCAGGTTCCCGCTGCCCAGCGATCCCACCTGCTCTTACCTTGCATGCTCTGTGTTGCTTCCTTGCAGGTACAGGCAGGACCAGCTCATGAAGGAGGACAAGCTGGGTGGGTGCACCCAGCTGGCAAGCAGCAGCCGCAGCACCCATCTGAGACTTGCGCTTGCCTTCCCCAAGCAGCTGCTGCGCACCCCACCTCCCTCCCCCAAACCCATCTTGTACACTTACTCTCCTCACCCCTTACTCTCCTCACCGCCGCCCCACGCTTGTACACTTACTCTCCCCACCCACCACTGCATGCAGAAAGCTTCAACGCCGCCATCCGTGCAATTCAGCGCAGGGTGCGCGTGGCAGGCCGGAAACCTGTGCACGGCGTGTCATGCAGAGCCCTGATGCTGGCACAGCATGCGGCCTGGGCGTTTCTGCTCATGTATTGCACACAGCCCGAACCCACCCTGCCCGCCTAGCAACCCCTTGCGCAGATTGATGAGGACTGTGCGCTGCAGAACTGCATCGCTGCCCGCAACCTGCCCCCCAGCCAGCGCAACGCCGACGGCACGTGCGCGCAGCCTGTAGGCGGGCCTGTGGCCAGATGTCGCATGGCGCCTGCCTGGGACCCTGCGCGGCCTGGTGAGGACGGAAGCTCAGCGGCACACATGTCTTGAGTGTGATCCTACCTCCAGCCTGGCCTTTTCACAACGCCCTACCCTTCCCTGCACGTGCAGTGTCCTGCACCATCGATGGAGACAGCGCTGTTGGCATCTGCGACCCTGGTGACGGGTGCGCCGGCCCGCCGTTGCCGCCGCCGGGGTTTGCATCTCGTATGATATGCATGCTGTGCTGCTGGCAAGCGTGCACATCCTTTGAATTTGGGCGCGCTGCGTCAATTGCTGGGTTGCAGGAGGTGCTACCAGGTGACCAAGCACGCCGACTGGGTCGCTGCCCTCAGAGTGAGCTGAAAGCCCAGGTGCCACTGCCTCGCCTGCTGCTGCTGCAGCCCGCGTGGCGCGTCTGGGCGTTGGGGCCTGCCCGCCCGCTCACCTGCCGGCCTGCCTGTCTGTCTGTCGCACCCATGTGGCGCAAGTGAATGCTGCATGCCCAGGCGTACTGGCTCGGGAATCTGCCATGCCTTCTGTATTGAGCTCTGCCGCGGCCGGCATTCCATCCGTCAATCCTCGGGCCTCCTTTGCAGTCCGTGCTCGACATCTTTGCCACCCACCCCGGCATAAACAATTTCGAGAATTTTGAGAGCTGGATGGACATTCGCGCCACTATTGCGTTGGCCAAAGGTGCAGGGCTGCAGCATTGTGGGCACTGTAATTTTTGCCTCCAGCGCCTCCAGTGCCTCCAGCGCCCTCCGTGCTTGGCTGCTTCTATGCTGCTGCAGGTGCGGCCTTGAAGCTGCTGGTGATGCAGCAGCTGGTAATGGCGGACGGCACGCGCGGCGAGGGTGGAGCCCTCAAGGCCTTTGCTCGAGAGATGGCCACTCAACTGACGCGGCGGCTGCACTTCCACCTGGATCGGGCCAACCTGGAGAAGGTGAATGCATTCGCTTGCGCCATGCACCTGCCACCAACGCACCCGTGTGCCAGAGGGTGGTGGGCTGCTGTGGTAGAGGGACAAGGCAGCCCAGGTGCAGTCCTTTGTGGCATGCTACTGGCGCTGATTGCCTCTCCTTGCGGCGTTGGCAGGTGGTCCGAGCCAACACGTACCCGACCAACGACACGTGGACGACAGAGATGGATGCCGTGCGTTTCCCGGCCTACACACATCCCAACTTCAGCACCTGTAGATTCAACACTCCCATCGTCGGTCCCATCTCAGGGATCCAGGTCAACATGATGTGTTCCATCTCTGAGCGCATCGTGCTGACTCAGATGGTGCGGTGGTCTTGCGAGAAGAGCGAGCAGTTTGAGCGGGTGTGGCAGTGTCCCCTCCCAAAAACTGGGTGCGATGGGCGCATGTCCAGTGCCCTGAGGAAGAAATCTGACTGCAACGGAAAGTGAGTCCTGCTGCCACACCAGCCCTGCTGCGGCGCTTGAGGCAGCGGCGTGGCGGAAGCTCCCGCTGCCTGCGTGCCATGCTGCCTGACCTGCCCACCCACATGCTCCCCTGCAGCTGGTTTCATTGTGGGTGGATCTCACAGAAAGCTGGGGTTCATGAGGAAAATGCCAACTGCCCCGATGCGTACAAAAAGTGTATTAATGATCGCACGGACGGGCAGGCAAGCCCTGGCTTGAGGAGGGTTGCCCATGCGGCTCAATGCACGCACTGCAAATGCATCCGATGCCGAGTTGGCCTGCTCCTGCTGCTACCCAATGCTGGCAAGCTGATGTCTCGAGCCTTGCTGCAGATTGACTTTGATACCGTTTACAAGACCAAATGTGTTTTTGCAGAGCAGGTGAGCTCCTGGATTGGGCGTCACAGCCGTCATCGCTTTCTCCCAGGGCAGGCCTGCCCGCCTGTGGCTGCCTGTTCCGTCGCGTGCTGCAAGCATCTCTGAGACGCTGCACCTGCTCTGGCACAGACACGGACAGGCATAAACGACGGCATCGACAAGCTGAGTGCCGCGATGAACACGGCGCTGGAAGATGTGAGAGCTGCTCTGCTTTATTGTTGAATGTCAGAGCCTGCACTGCACCTGCGGTGTGCCACCCTGCCCCTGTGCCGCCTGCAGGTGAAGCAGATCGTTCTGCAGTTCAGGAAGCTTGCAAACTCGACGTCCAACGGCGTGCCCAAGGTGCAGTGCCACTTCCTGGTTTTATTGTGCGCATGGGTACAGCACACCGCACACTGCCAGGTTTGATCCTGCCGCCTCTTGCCGCGCGCCGCAGAACGGTGCTGGGTGGTGGCGCACCAACCCGCCTCCCATTCTCAACTGCGAGGGCGCCGTATCGCTGGTACTGGCCAACAGGGCCTGCACCAAACCCCGACGCAGCGCCCGCTTCGCCGACGAGCCCTCACGCCTGGTGCGGCGTGCAACCACATATGCCGCCTGCTGCAAGGCCTGCCGCACCTCCACCGGCTGCGTCAGGTTCAGCGTGAGCGCCAGGGGCTGCGCCATCTACCGCACCAAGCCCCGGAAGCAGACTGTGAGGGCTGCGGGGCACATCGCCGGATACTGTGAGTCTGGGCTGAGTGGTGGAGCAGGCTGTTGAGTTGCTTGCTTGGGCCGGCGTTAGTTCGGTGTTTGGTGGTCACCCTCCGCTTTTTTTTGAGCTACTGATCCTCAACTGACGATTGCCATGGCTCCACCCGCCTGCCTGCCTTCTGCTGCAGATGTCCGCCGGCAGCCCTGAAGCCATTCTTGCCTGATGCGTGTGGGGGGCAATCGTACCATACAAGGCTGATGCCAGATCCTGCTTTCCATCTGTCTAGTGTCTGTAACAAGTCAGAGGGCTCTCCAGTACGCTCCATGCAATGAACCACCTCCACGTGTTCCCTCCAGGTCCGCGAGCGCTAGGGCCGGCGCGGCGGCGGCTTGCTGCCCGGCAGCTGCGGCCGCGGCCCGAGGCCTCGCTTCGCCAGCAGCAGCTGCTCGGCCAGGCGCTCCGCCTGCTGGTCCACAGCGAATGAGTGCTGCTCCAACTCTGCAGCAGCGGGGATGTGGCAGGCGGTGTACAGCTGGCATGGCACGCGGCCCAGCCGAGAGAGACATCCAGCACCCTCGCCCCGGCCCCGCCAAGCACCTCCACGCCCCCGCTACTCCTGTCACCATTATCCGCACCCCAGCACACACGCATGCGCGTGCCGGCCTGCCCTGCCGCCCACCTGCATGCACGCGCTGCATCTCCTCCAGCTGCTCCCGCAACGCCGCCACCGTCCGCTCCAGCTGCTGCGCCCGGCTCTCGCCCACCTGCCGCCGCAGGTTTGCAATCTCGTCCTGGCGGGGCGAAGAAGGGGAGGGGGAGGGGGGTGCATTGCGTGAGAGGTGGAAGCGGCGGCAATGGGGCTGTGGAGCTGGGCGAGGGAGGAGATGGGCGGGCAGGACAGGGAGGGGGGAGCGCCGCGCGCGGCATGCACACATATAAACCTAAACGAAAACGCAGCCGCCGTCGCTACCACCGCCGCCGCCACCATTGCCACCACCACGCCTGGACCCACCCAACCTCTCCTCTCCCACCTGCTGCCTATCCAGCTTGGCCAGCAGCGGCTCGGGCCCAAACTTGAGCGCCTTGAGCTCCAGCTGCGCCGCCGCCAGCTCCCGCGTGCGTGCCTCCAGCTCCGCCCGCAGCCCCGCAAACTCCCGGTTGACCGCCGGGTCCAGCAACAGCTGGCGCAGCTGCACCACCGACGGCTCGGCCGCCTGGCGGGCCACGTGCAGCGCGCGCCGCAGCTGCAGGTTTTCCGCCGCCGTCTGCGCCGCGGTGGCCTGCAGCCCCGCCTCGCGCGCCCCCAGCGCCGCCAGCTGCGAGCCGAGGTGCGCCTCCGCTGCTTGCGCCCTGCGGGCATGTGGGCGCGCGAGGGCCAGGAGTGAGAGGAGTGGTAAGCAGGGAGGAGGGACGGCGGCTGCGGGGACGGCAGCTGCGGCGCCATGGTGGGCAACTAGGCAGCAGGCGGGGCAACCAGGCGAGGCGCCCCTGCGACCTCGCCTTTTCAGTTCTGCCAACACCACAGCAGGGGTGATGGGCCCCGCGGCGCCTCGCAGCGCCCCTTGCCGCTCCGCTTCGAAAGCCTCTGCCCACTGCTGCAGAGTCGCCGCCGCCTGCGACGGCGGCGGAGGGATGAGCGCGGCGGCGTGACTCGCAGGACCTCGCACCGCCATCTGCGCTTTGTCAGCCACGCGGACGTGTAACAGCGGCGATGCAGGCCCCCGCGCAGCTCACCATGTTTTGCTTCTGGCCTGTGGCGCTTCCTGCCGCTGAAATCGTGATGAGAAGCGCTGGCGGAGCGTAAAGAGCACCGATGCGCGCCAGAGAGCGCTTCCACCTGATGGCGGCTGACCTGGCGCCCGATGGCGGCGGCGGGCTCTGCTGAACAGTTACATTTCCTTCGCATCACATGATGGCATGCCTCAGGCAGCACCCGGAGGCGGCCCCTCCATGAAGTCAAGCAGCAGCTGGCGGCAGGTGGCCACGAGGGCCTTGCGGCGCAGGCGGTACTCCACCACTGCCACCATCCGCGCATCCAGCCCGCCGCCGCCACCGCCCAGCCCCTGCTCCTGCCACCCCTGCAGCACCGCGCCGTCCTGTGCCAGGCTGGTGGGCCAGGCAGCCGCCTCAGCCTCCAGCTCGGCGTGCAGGTGCTCTGCCAGCGACAGCTGCCGGCCGAGGGGCGCCGCCGCCGCCTCGTCCGCGGCAAACGGAAGCGACTTGAGCGCCGCATAGGCGAAAGGGTCACGTCCGCCCATGGCAGACGCCATGCGCTGGTCGCTCCCCATGCAGGCCTGCATTCGGTCAAGAGACATCAGTACCGCCTGGGCGCCGTCATCAGCCATAGCGGCGTCGCCGGCCGAGCCCCGCCCAGCGGCCCCTGCCTCTGCTATGCCCGCCGCCCCTGCGCCGTCCAGCGCCGCGAACTGCAGGCGGTCGGCGAGGTTGCCGCCCGGTACAAAGCCGTACTGCGCCATCAGCCGCTGGTTGGTCATGCCCGCGGGCCCTGCAGGGCCGGCGCCGGGGAGACGTGTCGGGCAGCGCCGAGAGGCGGCGCAGGGCCCACCAAAATCGGCAGGGCAACCACGGGCAACCACTGGCAGCCAGCCCGCCAGCCCGCTCGCCCACTCGCCCGCCGGCCCGCCAGCCAGTCAGCCAGCAGGCATGCAGGAAGAAAGCACCTGTGTAGCTGATGGTGGCCTCCTGGCCCGGCTGCAGATCCTTGACAGCCACCAGCTCCACACACCCCTCGCCGGCGTTCAGCCTGCGGCGCGCGCCGTGGCACACGGTTAGCGAGCGCAGCGGGCGGAACCGGACGCAAGGGCAGTCCCCCGCCCCCGCCTCTGCCCCAGCACTCTGCGCCAGCGGCGAGCCATCAAGCCCCGGCGCTGGGGGGGCCAGGGCGCATGCAGTCACTGTACGGTACCGCGCTATGCCTGACACCGCAACCGCCCCCGCACCTGAAGTCGCAGGAGGGGTCTGCCGCGTGGTTGGCCACATCCAGCAGCGGCACAAAGGCAAAGTGCTCGTCCGCCAGCCGGAAGGCCCGGCTGCGCACGCACCCAAAGCCCCACTGCAGCCAGGTGGGTCCGTCTGCGCAGGGGGAAGCGGGGGGTGGCGGTGGAAGGGGGTGGGAAACACACAGGGGTGCATATACAGGTGATGTGTGTTGCTGTGCATGCGCAGGCACCGGCTGGTGCCACGCCGTCGCATGTTTCGCGGGCCAGATGCCCAGATGCGGCCGGAATGCGCCGGGCACACCTTCGGACATGCTGCCGCCCAGGCCCGGGAACAGCCCCGCCAGCCGCTCCTGCTGCGCTGCGGCCCCCGCCGCGATGGCGGCGTGCTGCAGCTGCGGCAGCAGCCGCGGCGGGAGGCAGAGGGGGAGCGTGAGGTCCAGGGGCTGGGGCAGTACCGCATTGCTGTACCGCTCCCAAAAGGCGTCGCCGCCGCCCGACAGCGAGTCCAGGAGCGCGAGGGCCTGTAGCGGGGGGCGGGCGATGGCGTGGGTGGGCGTTTGCCTTCCAACCAAACACGCTGCAGGTCACGCCATGCTCTGCTACAACACAGATTATAGTGTGCTTGGAACATGATTCCAGGGCAGCCCAGAGGCAGCAGCAGGTGCAGCGAGCCGGGCCAGCCCAGCGCACCAGCAGGATGTCCCAGGGCAGGGCGGCGTCCTTCTGCACGCCGCGCTGCAGTCGGGGCCAGGCCCCCGGCGGCAGCCGCAGGCCGGCAGCATAGTCGACGGCGAGGCAGAGCGAGGTGGGCACCCTCAGCACGACATCCCCCTGGCTGGCCGCTGCCGTCAGGAACAGGCCGCTGCCGCGGTGCAGGCTGCCGTCGCTCCAGGGCTGCAGCGCCACGGCGCAGGTGCTGCAGTGGGCGGCCGCAAGGTCGGCAAACGCAGCCTCAGCCTCGGTTGCCGCTGCCGCCGCCGCCTGAGCGGGCTGGGCGGAAGCGTCGCATCTAGCGGCCGCTGCATTGCGCCTCGATCGGTGGCTCAACCGCCGTCGTTGGCGGGCGACAAGGGGAGTGCAAGCTGCTGCCTGGCGCGGGCCGGCATGGGCCGCCGCATGGCGAGCTGCACCGCAAGCTGCGTGAGTTGGCTGAGCCCGCATAGTGCTGCGCAGATGGGTTGCGTGCTGGGGACAGGGAGACGTTACCAATCTGGATGACGAGCGCAATGCCGCTGTGGCACATGCGGCCGTGTCGCCTCCTCCCTCCCATGGGGCCTCCCACACCATTCCATTCCTCCCCTCCTGATCGCCAGCCTCTGTGCAGTCACTGGAAGGACGGCACAGGGTCTGCGACCGCCGCTCGGTTTTTGTCTGCAGCCTCCCAGTCGTTCGTGTGACTGGTAGCCTCCTTTCGCCAGGTGGGAGGCCCTTCTGGTTTCGGAGAGTGCTGGCGCATCGCCGCAAAGGCCCCGGGCCCACCGCCGACGAGCCTTTTCACCCGCCGCCGCCGCTTCCCGCCACTCTGCTCCCGCTGCGCAGCAGTGCACCCAGCCTCCGCAGCTCCCGCTGTCCAGCTGCCGCAGGCCCGTAGCTAGCAGCCATGGTGGTCGAGGCTGCGGCCGCCTCCAACGGCAATGGCGCAGGGGAGGAGGTGTTCAGCAAGAAGCTCGTGGGATATGACGGTTTCCAGGTGCGATGCCTCCACTGGCCAGCCGGCTGGTTGCAAGCCGCTGGCATTTTTGACGCCACCGATCAGCACGGCTCCATGCCCAACGTCCCTCTCTGTATGCTGGGCTGCCCGGTCGCTGTCGCGGAAGCAACGAGGGCCGCCCTGCCGCTGATTCCTGGCCCCCACCCACCTACCACCCACCCACTCGCCCGCAGCGCCACAACCCACGCTCCGACCGCTTCCCCATGCACAAGTTCCACCACGTCGAGTTCTGGTGCGGCGATGCCACCACCACCAGCTGCAGGCAAGCGCGCCCCCCAGAAGCACCCATGTGGCTCACACCCTGCTACCCGCCGGAGGCACTGGAGGCTTGTGGCCGTTGCAGCCGTGGCCTGGGTGCAGCCGCATGCTGCAACAGGGTCTGCTGCTGCTGCTGCTGCCACCAGACGCACCCACCTCGCCGCCCTCCCCGCCACCCGCCTGGAAGGTTTGGGTATGGGCTGGGCCTGACTCTGGTGGCCAAGAGCGACCAGTCCACGGGCAACCACCACTACGCGTCGTACGTCATGCAGTCGGGTGAGGGCCCGGGGCAGCCCCGCCTGCTCCTGTGAGCCTGCTCCTGTGGCGGCAGCTCCAATAGAGCGGCTGCTGCCGGCCCAGGCGGGGGTTGCAAGTGGGCTGTGACAGGGAGAAGGGAGCTGGAGCAGGCTGGCCCTCACAGCGGATTCGTGATGCCTTCCTGGCCCTCCCGTCCCCACCTCCCCGGCTGCCGCAGGCGATCTTGTGATGGCCTTTACCGCGCCCTACAGCACCCAGACAGACAAGAGCGGCAGCAGCCCGCCCGCAGCGTAAGGATTGTCGTTGCTGCTCCCTGCTGCGGGCTGGGCTGGGCTGGGCTGGGTGCAGCAAGCTGCACTCAAAGCGGGCTGCATGCCACACCCCTCGGCCGCTGGGGTCACGGCAATGTATAAATATACCGCATTGTACGACACTGTACCGCCTGTATGTACCGCAGGTACGACCAGGACGCCGCCTACGCCTTCCTCAAGAAGCACGGCATGGCGGTGCGCGCCTTTGGTGCGTCCCCGGCCCGGCTGTGCCTCTGTGCTGCGCCTCTGTGCTTCTGCCGCACCTGCCCTGCCACCCCGATGGTCGGCGCAGCCCGCCCCCCGCTGCTCACTTCCCCATGCACCCACCTGCATATCCGCCATGCTTGCCTGGGGCAGCAACGGGGCCTCTTTCTTGAACATGATTGCTTTTCCAACGATGCCATCGACGCCTGCACTGCTGTTACCTGGTGCCCAGCACTGCGTGCCTTCCCTGCCTGGCCCTCCATCCGCCCTCCACGTCAGCACACGTGCCCGCCTCCCACACGTCCCCCCCCCCTCTGGTCCTGCAGGAATCCTGGTGGACGATGCCGCGGAGGCGTACCGCATAGCCACTGCCCACGGCGGGGTGGGTGTGGCGCCACCCACCACCCGCACGGACGCAGCCAGCGGCACCAGCCTGACGTGGAGCGAGGTGCAGCTGTACGGCGACTGCGTGCTGCGCTTTGTCAGCGGCGACTACGAGGTGGGGGCATGTGTGCGTGCATTTGTGTCTGTGTGGGTGTGGTGGTGGTGGTGGTTTAGGAGCCTGTGTTTTGATCCCGAGGGCTCACGCGTACCGGCAGTGCTGGTCACGCCTGAACTGCAGCCTCGCAGGCCATCCATCCATTCCCTCCAGCACCCCCCCGCCACCGCCACCCCACCCCGTCCCTGGTCCTTCCCTCGCGCCTGCCGCAGGGCGCCTTCATCCCCGGCTACCAGCCCGTGGAAGACGCGCCCCAAGTCTCCTACGGCCTGCAGCGCCTGGACCATGCGGTGGGCAACGTGCCAGAGCTGATCCCTCAAGTGGAGTACATGGCTCGCAGCCTGGGTGGGCGCTCGCCGCCTGCCTGCCTGCCTGCCTGCCTGTGGGGATGGGTGGGCGGGTGGGTGCGGGTATCTGCGTGCGCGGCTGTGGGCGGCTGTGGGGCTGTGGTGGGGTGGCAGAGGCGTGCCGGGCCAGTCGCTGGCTGGGGGTGGGGCTGGGGCTGGGACGCCAGCAGCTGCAGGAAGCTCACAGCTCAATCGAGCAGGCGCCCTGCTACCTGCCGCCCTGCCGCCGCCTGATGCCCTGCTGCATGCAACTGGCTGCATCCTCGGCCGGGCGCCTGCCTCCTCCCTACACAACGGGCGCCCCTCCTCCGCGTCAAGTCCTCCGGACGCCGCCTGCATGTTGTCCCCTGGACTTCTCCCCTGCAGGCTGGCACGAGTTTGCTGAGTTCACTGCCGAGGATGTGGGCACTGTGGACTCGGGCCTCAACTCCATGGTGGGTCTGGTCCCGGGAGGGCCGGCGGCGGGGTGCTGCCGGGCGTAGGCTGGTGATGGGAGGGCGCTGGTGGGATTGGGGCTGGTGGGGTGGGGGCCTGTGGCATGGGGCTGGTGGCATGCGGGCAGAATCTGCACTTGGGCCTCAGCTCCGCAGCGCCTCAACTTCACGGTGGCGGTGATTGGTGGCGGTGGTGTGGTGGGTGGATGCTGGTTTGGCGGGCTGGCGTTGTTGCAGGGCGCAGCGGCCTGCCCAGGCGGGGCCACCTCGGGGGCGCTGCTGCTGCTGAGGCTGCCCCCCACCCTGCTGCCGCTCAGGTCATGGCCAACAACAACGAGATGATTCTGCTGCCGGTCAACGAGCCCACCCACGGCACCAAGCGGTGAGCGTGGCGAGCCGCCTTTTCCAGAGGAATTTTGCCGTTGCTTAACTGCGAATTTTGCAGCATCTACGCCCGCTGGACCGGCGGCACGGGCATGTATATGTGCGGGCTGGCTGCCTGCTGCCGCGGCCAGCCTGCCGGCAACTACAGCAGAGCACCTGCCCACGCCCCGGCCTGACCATCTGCTTGCTCCCTGCCCCGCCCTCCCCGCGGTGCCCTCCCTGCAGCAAGAGCCAGATCCAGACCTTCCTGGAGCAGAATGAGGGGCCCGGGCTGCAGCACATGGCCCTGAAAACAGACGACATCGTAGCCACCATGCGACAGCTCCGGGCCAGGTACGCCTGCTGCGCCTGGTTGGGTGGAGTTGACGTGGAATGGGCTGGCTGGCTGGCTGGCTGGCCCGCGTGCGGCGCCGGGCTGGGCTGTGCGCTTGCATGCCGCGAGGCCTGCGCTCGGCGTGAAGCTTGCGAGGCGCCCTGGCCTCCTTTGTGCTGCCGCCGCAGCCAATGGCAGCTCCTCCCTTCCCGCTCCCCGCAGGTCTGCGTTTGGCGGCTTCGACTTCATGCCCAGGCCTTCGCCTGACTACTACCGCAAGCTGCCTGCCCGCATCGGCAGCCTGCTGACGGCGCAGCAGGTGGGGCAGCGCACTGTGACCATGGTGTTCGCCGCGGTGGTACTGAGCGGTGGTACTGCTGAGGCTGGCCAGCTGGCCGTGCTGTGTCTCACAAGTAGCATGTGACTGACAGGCGCCAGCCTGGATGGTGCACCGTGTGTGGGGCAGGCAGATGGTAGGGCTGTCTGTACCTCATGCCTCACGCATCTGTTGCGTCGCCGTGTACCGCCTTGTATGCTGCAGTACAAGGACGTTGAGGAGCTGGGGCTGCTTGTGGACAAGGATGACCAGGTGAGGGCAAGTCCTCCATAAAGGGAAGGGGGTGGGGAGAGAGTCGTTGGCGGGTGGGGTGTGTGGAGGACGAGAGGGAGATTGCCTGTCCGACGGCGTGCTTCCTGCGCCCGTGTGCTGCGCTGCTGCGCGCTTCCATTGACCAAAACGGTAATGAATCTGAAAATGTATCATTCGCTTCCGACTGCAGGGCGTGCTGCTCCAGATCTTCACCAAGCCGCTGGGCGACCGACCCACCGTGTTTTTCGAAATCATCCAGCGCCTGTGCGCCCTGGAGCCGCAGGTGGGGCTGGGGCATCTGTTTGAACAGGTAGTGTTGGGGGCCAGGGGCCACGGGGTTGGCACACCGCGTGCCTTGACACATTGGAGAGCACTGGAGGTTGGCATTCCCCGGATGGCTGCACCCGACCCCGGGCTTAGCCTTGCTGTCCCTGCGGTGGCACCTGCCTGCAGGCCGAGGCAGGTGCAGCACCGGCAGCAGTCGAGGCGCCCAAGAGCCAGCGCGGCGCGGTGCCTTCCGAGGTCGGCGGCTGCGGCGGCTTTGGCAAGGGCAACTTCAGGTGTGCCTGTCGGTGACTGTGGGTGGGAACCCTGCTCCTGCACATGCACGAGTGGCACGCGGGTGCACTGCTCCTCATCCGTGTGTTGACAGGCTGCCATTTGCGGAGCTGCTGGGGCGGTGTCTCTTGTGTGGGTTCGCTCGTGTCATCCTTTCCTGCTACCTCTGCCCTTTTTTCCTGGATTTGCAGTGAGCTGTTCAAGAGCATCGAGGTGTACGAGACGGATCTGGGCATCAACTAAAGGGGTTACCCATGATGGCACTGCCAGCCACCCCAGCGACCTATGTGCACCTGTGTTCCCTGGCCATTGTCAGCTGGATTGTTGACTACGCGATGATGATGCCATGCTTGCGCTATTCTCCTGGCCGGCGACGATCGATATGCATCAACTGCTGAAGGCTGCTGGCCGCCGCCGGAGCGCACACAGCGCTCGCTCGCGCTGCCGCCTTCTACCATTTTCCTTTCATTGCACATGCACACTTACCCACTCATTTCTACTTCCGCGGCCGATTGCCCTTTTATTCTTGCTTCGGGCAATGAGTGTACCACCGCCGGCCTGTAAAGTATGGACACGTCTGGCTGGCGGCGTTGGGTTCCCGCAACTGCAGCAAGCGCTGGTGCCGCCGCTCAACTCTGCTGTGGATGACGGCGCCATACAGAGTGCCATTTCCGGAAGTGCAACGTTTAGACGCCCCTCCAGCACCCAGAAGGTACGGCCAGAGGGGGGGCAAGGTCCAAGGAGCGGCTGCCCAACCGTACAGCGCTGCCGCCGAAACCGTACTGACGGCGGCGGCAAGGTCCTCGAAGCGCCCCACAGCGCCGCCAGCGCGCTGTCCGGCAGTCGCAGATCGCATCGGATATTGCCAGCGAGGTTTGTATCGCGACAGAGAGGCCAGTGGGTGGTAGCGTTGGAGGGAACGCGCCGTTCGCCACGCCGTTCGCCTTGCAGCGCCCCGATGAAGATGCAGCTGCAGGCTCCCGCATCGGGCCAGGCTGCAAGCTTGTGCCCAAGCCGCTCTCCTCAGCGGCGCCGCCACATCCGGCGGCTCCACCTGGCGGCGGCAGCGGGAGCCAACGGCACCGCAAGCAGCGGCAGCCAGCCCGGCAAGAATAAGGTGCTCGTGGTCGGAGGAGGCTGGGCAGGTGAGTTTGCTGTGCCGCTTTTGCGCCTCGCATGGAGGACCCGGAACTGCCCCCAGCAGCCTGCCCAGCTGGAGCACGCCTGCGCCGACAGCTTGTGCCCTGCCATCAGCGGCAGCTGGAGCGCTGCAAGGCAGCTGCTGGTGTAAGCCTCTGGGTGCCGCCTGCCTGCGCAGGCTTTGGCGCCACCAAGCACCTGGCAGAGCAGGGCTACGACGTGACCCTCCTGGACGCCTCTCCCAACCCGGGCGGCCTGTCAGGTGCAGGCACCCGCACAGCCTCGTCGCAGCCTGCTTGCGGCAAGCTGTGATGACCCGGATGTGACCTACTCCCCTGGTCCCCTGCTGCCCCGCAGCCGGATGGCGCACGCCACAGGGGCGGGCCGTGGAGGCTGGCGTCAAAGGCTTCTGGTACCAGGTGCGGGACGCTACTACCCTACGTCACCGCCGGCAGCACCCCTGGCGACGCAGCGCTGCTGGCGGAAACCGCGCCTGCCTGCTGGTTGCGGAAGCTGGGAGCTGCCTGCTGTGCCCCTCACCGGCGCTGCTGGTGTCTTGCGGCCGCCACAAACCCTCCCCATCTCCCGCCCCTGTCCTGCCACCTGCCGCCCCACTGGGATACCGTTGCAGTACGCCAACATCTTTGCCATGGTACGGGAGCTGGGCATCCCGCACCCCTTTACCGACTTTGAGACCAGCGGCTTCTGGGGTTCAGACGGCCGCCTCATCACCCAGGCACCCGTCTTCTCCAAGCTGCCCCGCCTGCCCGCGGTCGCTGGCCAGTTCTACCACACCTGGGGCTTGTTTGAGTGAGTTCCGGGAGCCTGGTGGTGGTGGTGGTTATCGCCACGGCGGCGGCGGCGGTGGTGGTGGTGGTCGTCGTCGTGGGGCGGTCGTGGTTTTGGGGCAGGAAAGTTGCTGTGCAGGCCGCCGGAGGTAGCAGCAGCGGCCGCCCTCCCTGCCCACCCCATGTGTGCCATGGCCGCCGCTGGCGGGCGCTGTAGTGCTGAGCGGCCCACCCGCCCTTTCCCGCACTGTCCGCCGTGCAGCAGCCTGCCGCTGGCGGACCGAGCCACCATCATCCCCTGGTGAGGCGGCTGGCTGGGGCTGGCTGGAGTTGTACCAGCTGTACCAGCTGTACCAGCTGGAGCTGTACCAGCTGTGGTCAACCCCAGCATCTGGGCAGCCGACTGGATGCATGCTGCCGGAATGCTGCCACGCCGCCACAGAACCCCACTCCTTCCCCCTCTGGGCCGCAGGCTGTACACGGCCATCGATCTGGGCAGTACGCCGGGATCTTACGAGCGGTACGACAGCATGACCGCGCTGGAGCTGTTCAGGCGGTACAACATCACCCAGGCAGCCTACGAAAACTTCCTCAAGCCCACGCTGCTGGTGAGCTAGCGGGCGGCAATGGGTGGTGTTTGCTTCAGCACAAATAGCAGACGGGCTGAACCGATTTCAACAAGAGCAGACGAGCACACTACCGTTGCTGGCAGCGGGGTGCCGTGCGCCTCCCTCGGGCTTTCTGCAGCCAACACCATACATCGACGTCTCTCAGCCCCTGCCTGCCCCTGGCCGTCGTGCAGGTGGGGCTGTTTGCACCACCGGAGCAGCTGTCTGCGGCCGTGGCGATAGAGACGCTCTACTTCTATGCGCTCGCCCACCAGAGCGATTTTGATGTGTGCTGGTGCAAGGGATCTGGTGCGTAGCAGCGCGGAATGGGAGGATGTCCCTCCCCGCTGCTGCCGCAATCTGCTGCCCATCCATGTTGCTGGGTGCCCGGCGCTGGAGAGTCCCCGCAGGCCACTGCCAACTCCACCTACCCTCCTGTCCTGCCGCATGCTGCTGCAGTGAGCGAGCTGATCTTCGAGCCGCTCATTGAGCGCATCAAGCAGAGTGGCGGCAAGATCCGGGTGGGTGCCTGTGTGCGCTCGGGCTGCTTCGCTGAAGGCCCAGACCAAAGGAGCAGCACCACATCCCTGGCAGCTCTGGCAGCTCACATCCCGCTTCCGCCGCCTGGTGCCTGAGACACGACCAGTGTCCTCCTGGTGGCACAGGGAGGCCGCCTGGTGAGCGGCATCAAGACAGACGCCGGCGGCGCCGTGACGGCGCTGGTGTCCCGGGATGCCGCCACGGGGGCGGAGGAGCGGCATGAGGCTGACGCTGTTGTGTTTGCCATCAGCATCTCTGGTGAGGTGGCTGGAGGAGGTCTCTTCCATCGCCCCGTCCGCACGTGCTCCTGCCGCTGCTGTGTGCAGTAGCTTTGCTGCTGCCGAGCGTCGGCGGCTGCGGGTTGCGACGACCCTTCCGTGCGTGTGTACCACCTCGCTGTGCCTGCTCGTCTCCCCCCGCCCCCGGGACCCCTGCAGGTATGCAGCGCCTGGTGCAGGCCAACCGCGTGCTGGCTGAGCGGCGGGAGTTCCAAGACATGATGGAACTCAAATCAAGTAAGAAGGGGAGGCTGGGAGTGTGTGGGTGAGCGTGTGCTGGGCAGGCACCCTGTTGGTGCTGCCGCCACCGCCTCGCGTGCACCCGGAGACTGCCTGGCATCAGCAGGCTGCCCTTGCGCCTTGGGCACACGTACACCCACACACAACGCTGCCCCCACCCGCAGTTGACTGCATAGCCACGCGGCTGTGGTTTGATCGCAAGATCGACACGCGGTGCGCCGGGCAGCTGCTGCTTGCTTGGCTCCCGACGCCGCCGCGGCCTGCTCTCTAAACCAGTTTTTCAGGCCACCCCTGGAGCATTGAAACGTGGCTCCACCATGAACGCCACTGGCATTGGTGTGCTTGCTGACTGATGCCCTGCCCATTGGCGTGCTTTGGCGTGGCTGTGTGACTGCCTGCTCATTGATGCAGGTTCCCGGTGAATGTGCTGGCTGGATATGAGCAGGACTGCGGCGCCACCTACTTCAACCTCAGCTACCTGCAGGTGCCAGGGGTTGGGGAATGTGCGTATGGGATGGGGCAGCGGGGGGAAGGGCGGCGTATTTCCAGCCTGGTGGGGAGATGGGAGATGGGGGGACTGAATTGCGCAAGCTGCTTCCTGGCTCCAGCACACCGCCGCTGCCTTCGGCGAGCCCCTGTTTGCATATGTACTTTACATGTACTTGCTGATGTACCGCAGGACGAGTACAAGGACGAGCCTGGCACCGTAATTGCCGCCGACTTTTACGGCGCCTCCCGCCTGCTGCCGCTGTCAGGTGCGCCCGCCCGCCCCTTGGCCCAGCCTGCTGCTGACTGTTGCTGCCTGCACGTCGCTTGAAAAATTCCCAATCCTCTCATTCGAGTACCAGTCAAGTAGGATGCTGCTGCCGAGCAAAGCCACCAGTCAGCATGCTGCGTACGCTGTGCATGCTGCCGCCTGCTGTGCATGCAGACGAGGACATCGTGAAGAAGGTGCAGAGCAACATCGCGCGCTGTGAGCCCGCCTTCCGTGACGCCAAGGTGGGGCCTGGCGGCGCCGCCTGCATGTCTGCACGCATGCCCGCCCTGCCAGCCATGCATGCCCCCTGCAGCTGCCGCCTCCCGGCAGCCCTGCTCCGGCATGCAACGAGCATCGCATGTGCAGCCTCCTGCGCCGGGCTGCTGCTCCCTGTGTGCTGCGCCCCTGCACCCTCATGATGGCCTTGCCCACCCTGCGCTTCCCCGCCTGTCGCTGCTCTAGGTGGAGGATGCCGCGGTGCTTCGCTTCCCCCGCGCCGTCACCCACTTCAGCCCAGGCAGCGCCAAGTACCGCCCCACCCAGGTGCGGGCCCACAGCCATCAGTACTGGCTGCGACATGCTGCATGGGACGCCGCTGCAAAGTGCAGCGCGCTGGCAGGCTGCGGTCAATGTAGTGTCGATTTGGGTCTGTCCTTCACCGCTGCCACTGCCGCCTGCAGGCCACCAGCTTTGACAATCTCTTCATGGCAGGCGACTGGGTCAAGGGCTTGGACCACGGCGCCAACGGGCTGTCGCAGGCAAGGCCTGCCGCCTGCGGCCGCACCTCAGCTCGGGTGCAGCTCGGCACTCGTGCGCTGCCACTGCTGCACTTTAGCAGACGGCTGCTCGCCCGGGTCAGAGGAAGAGGCTGGCTGGGCCTCGCATCACACGCCCCGCCGCGCCCTTGCTGCTGCCTGCCTGCAGGAGCGCGCGTGGGTGAGCGGGCTGGCCGCCGCCAACCTGGTCGTTCAGCGGCTGGGGCAGGGCCAGCCAGCAGACATCCTGCCAGGTGGGTTTGTCACGCCCTGTGTGTGGGCGGACATGCAACCAGCTAGCTCATCATGACTAGCGCCGCGGGCTGCTGCTTATTATGGCTGCTAGCCGCCGCCAGGCTGCATGGGCAGTGTGCCGCACACGCAGACAGTCGGATCCACGCCGCAGGCAGTCGGATCCACGCCCCCCCGCTTGCCCGCTGCCTGCCCCGCAGTGGAGCCGGATGAGCCGCACATTGCGGCGGTCAGGGAGGCCAACAAGGCGGTCAAGGCAGCGCTGTACAACCTGGGCGTGCGCAGCCCCTTCCTGTGACCCGGCGGCAGTACAAGGTTACTGCGGCTGGCACTAGAGACGATCGGGAGCGGAGGGAAGTGTTCGGCGGAGAGCAGGCGCACCCGGGCATGTGGGCATGATGGCACTGCATTGTTTGTGCATTGTTTGTGCCTGCGGCGAGTTTGTAAGGAACAGATGCCATGGTGCCGCCTGCACAGGAACCCAGGGGCTAGCTGCCGGCAGCCTGCTGCGAAGCACCTGCACTGCTGGCAGTCCAGTCAGCACAGCCACGAGTGATAACGCGAAGTGGGCCCCAAATGCGCGTTCCTAGTATCTTGCTCTACCGGGCTATCAAACACTCACTCAGGCGTCATTCAGAACAAAATGAGCGGCGTCCAGGAGAGCTACTCGCGCGAGGAGCACCACAAGACGGGTGGGAGCTGCAGGGGCACCACCAGCCAACTGGGAGGGCCTGGCTCAGCCTGCAGACTGCAGAGTACTCTGGGAGCACCGCCGCCGCCGCGTGTGCTGCCTGCGGGAGCTGTGGTCTGCTGACTCTTGCCGCTGCCCGGCCCCTGCCGCACCCGCTGCAGGCTACGGCCCGGGCGCCACCGGCACCGCCGCTGGCACCGGTGAGGGCCTGGGTGAGAAGGTTGCCCGCAAGGCAGGCGAGGTGCGTGGCCTGCAGGCAGGGTGCCTTGCCGCGGCAGCGCTGGCCGCGCATACCCGAGAACGGCAGCGGCTGCAGAGAAGCTGGCATAGTCTGCGTTGTGAGCGGCGTGCCTAAGCGCACCTGTGCACGTGCCGCGCCTGTGCACACGCCTGAACCTGCAGGCTATGGAGGGCGTCAAGGAGGCCATGCCTGGCACCGCCGAGCACCGCGCCACCCACCCCACCGCCGGCACCGGCATGGCGGGAGCCACTGGCGGCCACGGCAAGACCGGCACCGCGGGCACCACCACCACCACCGGCACCGGCGAGGGCCTGGGCCAGAAGGCGACACGCAAGACGGGCGAGGTGCGAGCGCTGGGCTGCCCTGCTGAACACGTTGAGCAACGCAGCCAGGCTGCGGCCGCTCCCTGCACCAGCCCGCTCTCCTCCCGCTGCCTGCTTCGCCTCGTGCACCCACTACCTGACCCGCGTGAGCAGCACCCCCCATTCTGGCTGCCCTGCAGGCCTGGGAGGGCGTGAAGGAGGCCACCCCCGGCACCGCCGAGCACCGCGCCACCCACCCCACCGCCGGTGGCGGCGCCAGCACCATGACCGGTACCGCCGGATCCACTCAGGAGTACCACCACACCTCCCGCACCCACATTTGAGCAGAGCCCCTGCTCTGCCGTGACCACAGCGCATGGGCATCCCAGGGTATCACAGTCAGGCAGCCATCTCCTGGAGGTTTGAGGGGGGTATCGGCATCTACCCAGCACACACCAGCACAATTTTCCATGCATGTCCTTCAAATGTTGAGCGTGTGTGCGTCTGTTACCTTGTCAGACGTTTCTTTTGCCTGGCAATTGCCAGCCTGATTGTAAACCGGTGAGGCCAGTGTAAAGGAAGCGCCTAACAAGCAGGGTCTACCGGGCATGCGCCTCAAGCAGCCTCCCCGCCCAGCATGAAGGCGTGGGGCCAGGTGTGCACGGCGTATGCCGCACCCCACAGCAGCGACCCAATCGCCAGCGCCGTCCAGGCAAAGCCGAGCCTGCATGGAGGCATAGCGGGCGTGTGGCCGGTGCAAGGGGCAAAACATTGAACGAACGCATGCCAGCATGCACCCGCTGCTGCAGCTGTCCGCTGCTGCCAGCAACAGGCGCAGGCGCACCTCTGCCACTCGCACTGGGACAGCTTGGAGAGGAACCAGATGAAGCCAAACACGGCCCCCAGCGCCCGGCACTGCTCCACATCCAGCACCACGCCGCAGGCCAGCGTGCCGCCGATGACCGCCACAGCCGGCACCTGGCTCCACAGGCACTGCGGCGGGTAAGGGGGGAACAGGCCGGGTGGTCCGCCACTGCGCCCCGCTGGCACGTAGCGGCGGCAGTCCAGCCGCGCCAACACCGCAACACCGCCGCTCTCGACCCCCGTGCACGGCAGGCAGCGGCTGGGCCGGCCCACCAGCGCTGCACCCTCCCCAGCCAGCCAGCTGCGCCTCACCCTGCACGCCGCATGGAGCACGTAGCGCAGCTTGACGCGCAGCGGCAGCTGCACCCACACCTCGGGCGGCACGCCCCGCCCGCTGCTGTGGTTCCAGTGCCGGTGCGCCATGATAAGGTTCGCCACATTCATGACCAGAGCCACACCCCGGCCTCAAACGGCAGCAGCCAGGCGGGCGTGGACAGCGCGGCGGGCGCCACCTGCAGCAGCAGGCGGCAGGCGGCGGCAGCTGCCTTGGCGCCGCGCTCCCAGCAGCACAAAAAGCATGCTCACCCCAATTGCGGCGCTGCTCGGCCGACCTCCCGGCAAACTCCCAGGGGGTGTTACCTTGAAGGGAAGGAAGGCAAGGATGAGGGCGAGGGAGGCCAGAAAGGGCGGTGCCATGCCGCCGCGGAAGCCCACAACGGTGAGGAAGGGGAAGACGAAGATGGAAAAGCCCAAGGCGGACACCGCCCACCACACCGCCAGCGTGCCGAGCAGTGAGGCCTGCGCCGGGCGGCGGCAAGGTGTTGACCGATAGAAGGCGGGGCCTGGCATGGGTGCCCCGCACCAGCGCGGCAAGGCAACCAGGCTATGCCAACGCAGCGCTAGGGCGTATGTCACCGCCGAGGCAGCAGCAGCGAGGCGGGGAGCGGGGAAGGGCCTCACCTGCAGCCGCACCGCCACCGCGCCGTACAGCAGCGCAAAGCAGCCCATGAGGGCGGCGGCGGCGGCCTCGCTGTCCCTGAACCGATCCGCCAGGTGGAGGAAGATGGAGCCTCCAATGCAGGCGGTGAGCATGAGCAGGCCGGTGAGGCCGACGTAGGCGGCCTTGGCGGGCGCGGCGGCGGTGGCGGCGTGCAGCACCCACAGCGAGGCGGCATAGCCCAGCGCCTCCCACACGATCAGCGGGATGAGGAAGACCAGCGCCGCCACGTAGGTTCCGACAAGGGAGGCGGCGGCCAGCACCAGCAGCACGCAGCCGCAGAACCAGGCGATATTGACGAGGGTGAGCGCGCGGGCCAGGCGCCCGGGCGGCGCCGCCGGGCGCTGGATCGCGGCGGCCAGCGCCCCGGCGGCGAGCTCCTGCAGCTCGCCGGGGGCTGCCCCCTCCTTGCCCAGCTGCGGCAGCAGGGTGAGCAGCTGCAGGTGCTTGCGCGCGGCCAGGTCCCACAAGACGCCTGCGTCCGGCGGCGCCGCCGCCGCCTGCCGCAGCGCCCGCCACTCTGCCAGCAGCTGGAAGGCGGCCAGCCGGTCGGATGGGGCCAAGGCTTGGAACTGTGGCAGCCATGACGGTTCGAGAGTCGCGCAGGCGCTGGCAAGCAGGAACAGAAGAGAGAGAAGGGTGCAGGGTGAGCTCGGCATCGTGAGCACGTCGCAGTTTGTATGATACTGGTTCCTCCTGGGCAGGCACCAACGAGGACGCGGCCTGTTCGCCGGTGCCAAAGTTGTGGCTGGCAGCACCTGTCCTGCTGTGCAGCAGTACCGGGCTGCTTGGCCGTCGCCCCTGCCATTCGTGGCTCGCTACCGGCGATTGCGTGAGGCGAGCACCTTCCCTCCAAAGCCCTGTTGAAGCCGCCGCCCGATCGCTCGTCTGCTGGAGCAGCGGGGGCGCGCCTCTCCTTCATTTTTCATCGATTCGGACTGCGCACATCTACATGGCAGCGCCCTGAGGCCCGCCGCGGCCCGGAAACTCAAACGAAAACTGTGCGGATGGCTGAGCAATCGGCAGTCAAGCGGTTTGAGGAGCTGTCGTCGCAGGTGGGGAGCGACTGGGGATGCTGCACCGGTGCCCGCTGCTGCCCGCCGGTGCCCGCCGGTGCCCGCCGCCGCCGCCTCACCGCGCCAGGCGCCGCCTTGCTCCCGCCGCGCACCTCGCAGTGGGAGAAGTATGAGCGCAAGGTGGTGGAGCGCTGCTCGGAGCAGCACAATGCCATGTCCAAGTCGGCAGGGCTGCTGGACAGCGTGCGCACCCGGGTTTGGCACGCCGGCGGCCGCCGCGGCCGCCAGCCTTGGCGCCGGCGAGCCGCCGGCGTGCCAAACCGGGCGCGACCCGCTGGTCACGCCGCGCGCCAGCCTGACGGCGCCATCCGGCCTGCCGCCCGCCACACAGGCGGCCTCCAGCACGGGCATGGCATCGGCGGCGGCAGGCCCGGCAGCCGCCGACACGCCACGCTCCCTCAAGGAAAACCTGGGCGCCGAGCTCAACCGCAGCGCCGTGTTTGGGGCGCCGCCGGCCGCGCCCACCCCCACCAGCAGCTTCGCGGCGGCCGCCGCTGCGGCGCTGTCCGCGGGCGGCGGCGGGTGCCGCCAGCACTCGATGCTGCAGCAGGCCTCCAATCTCTTCTTGCAACAGGTGGAGGGAAATCGGCGGAAGTACAACACCAAAGTCGAGGCCCTCAAGGGGGGTGGTGCCTCGTGCCTGCTTCCTGCTGCCTTGCTGGCGCGCTTTGACGGTGGTGGCGGCCCGGGGGCGGCGGGCGGGGCGCTGCCGCCTTTGGGGCATGGTCCGGGCGGGGGGCCCAGGGTGGTGGGGTTCCCCCCCGTTTCGTTTCCTTGTCGGTGCCTCCTGCTCAGCCGGTTGCGGATTCGGGGGAATCCCCCCGGGACCGGCCCTTGGTGGGGGTCAACTCCCCCAGCGTCCCGGCCCTTTTTGGCCGCGCAGGCGGAGGTGGAGGGCCTGTCAACGCAGCGCCACAGCCTGTCCGCCGAGGTGCAGACGGCGGGGGCGTCTGCCAAGGCGCTGAGGGTGCAGGTGGCGGCCTCGCAGCGGGAGCTGGAGGCGGTGACTGCAGACCTGCAGCGGGCTCAAGGTCGGCTGCAGTCCCTGGAAGCAGCGCAGCGTGCAGAGCAGGAGCGGTACCAGAAGGAACGCGCGGCCGGGGCGGCCGCCGCCGAGCGCGAGGCCGCCGCGCAGCGGCAGCGCCTGGCTGCCGAGCGCGAGGCGGCCGCCGCGGCTGCGCGCCAGGGCGAGGAGGCGCTGGCGCGGCAGGCGGCGGCGCTGGAGGCGAGGGCGGCACGGATCGAGGAGCAGGGGCGCAGCCTGGTGGACCGGGATGCTGAGCTGGCGGAGAAGGAGCGGGAGTTTGAGGGGCAGGTGAGTGAGGGGGCTGGCTGAGGGCGGCTGCGCTGGGCGGCACGCTCAGCAGGGACGCCTGGTTTGCATGCCACGGCAGCCACGCCTGTGGCTCTGTTGCCCAGTCCACACGCTGCTGTTGCGCCGCTGCTGCTGCACGCACGCCGATGTCGACTGTTGTTGCCACCTGCGCGCCGCCTGCGCCGGCCTGCAGGTCAGGGAGATCACTCGTTCGCTCAAGGAGCGGGAGGCCAGGGCGCGGGAGGCGGAGGAGGTGGCGGCGGCCCACCTGCAGCGCGAGAAGCGCCTCATACAGGCGGAGTCAGACTTGCTGCAGCGAGAGCAGGCGGTGGAGCGGGAGCGAGGCGAGGCAGCCACCAGCCGGTCGAAGCTGGAGGCGGCGTGGGCCGGCCAGCGGCAGGAGGCGGCGCGGCTGGCAGAAGCGGGCCGCGCGCTGGAGGCGCAGCAGGCCGAGGCGGCGGAGGCGCTGGGCGGACGCGAGGCCGCGCTGGCGGCGCGCGAGGAGGAGCTGGCAGCAGCGATGCAGGAGTTTGAGCGAGAGCGCGAGGCGCAGGCGGAAGCGGATGAGGAGCAGCGGCAGCGCACGCTGGCGGAGCTGCGGCGCCTGGACGAGGGCATCGGCGAGGCCATGGGCCAGCTGCGGCAGGCGGAGGAGGAGGCGGCGGAGATGCGGCGGCGGGTGCAGGAGGTGCAGCGGGAGGGCGCCGAGGCGGAGGCGGCGCGCGACAAGGCGCTGCTGGCGCACACGGCTGCGCAGCAGGTGGGTCGGGGTTGGCTGCGGGGCGGGGCTTGGTTCACCTACAGAATCCGAGTCAGAATCACCAGCAGGGCGCCGTGCATCCATCAACAGGGACCGGCATGATGCCCCTGCGCCCCTGTGGCTGCAGGCTGCCCGGGATGTGCAAGCGGCCATGGAGGAGGCTCTGGCCACTGGCAGAGAGGAGGTGGAGAAGGTTGGTGGCAGCCCCTTGCTGCTGGTGCCGCTACTCGTCGACGAACCAGCATGATGTGCCCTTGTTGTGCAAGCCGTGCCCGCGCTGTCAGGCAGGATGCCGCTGCCCATGCTGCTTCGCACGGCATGGTGCTTGATGCTGTTGCTGCTGCTGGTTACGCTGGCTGCACCGCAGGTCAAGCAGCGGTACGATTCCATGCTGCAAGAAATGGCGGCCTTCCGCGCCGAGCGGCAGCAGTGGGAGGAGGGCCAGGCGGCAGCCGAGCGGCGGCTGGCGGATGAGCGCCAGAGCTTTGAGGCAACCGCCAAGTCACAGGTGGGCGCCTTTAGCTTGTGTGTGTATGCATGAAGCATACCAGGAGTGCAGGAGTGCGGGGAGGCCGCATGGAAGTATAGGAGTATCCCATCAGCTTCTGCCGCGCCGGCATTTTGTCACTGTCGTCTTCTTCGGTTACCCATCTTCTGACCTTCCGGCTGCACGCACACCGCCGCCTGCAGCGCGAGCAGCTGGAGGCGGACCGCGAGCAGCTGCGCTCCGACTTTGAGCAGCTGGTGGCGCAGCAGCAGGAGCGGGCCGCGGAGTGGGAGGAGGCGGCCAAGCAGGAGGAGGCAGCCCTGGGCCAGCACAAGCAGGCACGGGCTGCCGCACCCGTCTGCACTCTGAGACCTATGGTCTCCAAGCAGCCTCTGCCTTTAGGTCCCTGTGCTGGCCTGTTCATTGTCGAGAAGCTCCGCCGGCTGTGGAAGGTCACCCCTTGGACCCCTGCTGCCCGCTTGTTTGCTCTGCTGCAGGAGGTGGAGGCGGCGGAGCAGCGCCTGCAGCGCCGCACGGAGGAGCTGTCGGGCGTGGAGCGGCGCATTACGGCGGCGCAGCAGCGGCTGGACGGCGAGGCGGAGCGCCTGAGGAAGGCGATGGCTGGGCTGGAGGAGGAGGGGGCAGGCCTCAGGGTGGGGCTGGCCTCGGCCCGCGCTTGCGTTGTGCCTCTACACACAGCGCACTGTCTTTGTGTTGCAGCAGCAGCCAGCGCAAGGGCCAGGGTGCCCCCTCACCTTCCGCTGCACCTCACCCTGCCGCCGGCGCCCCCGCTGCCCTGCCGGCCCCGAGCAGGAGCGTGCCGATGAGCTGGCGGCGCGGGAGGAGTCTCTGGAGGCCTGGAAGGCGCAGTTCAAGGCGGAGGCGGTGCGCCAGATTGCGGAGCGAGAGCGCCTGCTCACCGAGTGGCAGGCGCGGCTGGACCGCCGGCAGGCGGAGATCGAGGAGGGGGCGCGGGGCGCAGAGGTGGGTGGGGGCCTGTGCCAGCTGCCGGGGAGCCCTGCTGGCGGCAGAGGTGCTTGCTGGTCTTCTAGACCTGAAGCCACGTCGGGTTGTGGCCTGCTTGGCTGTCTCGTTGCATGATCGCCAGCTGGCCCACACACGCACGCCTGCCGCTGCCGCAGAAGACGATTGCGGCGCGGGAGGAGGCGTCTGTGGCTCACGAGCGAGCCGCGCTGCAGGGCGCACAGGAGCTGGAGGCGCGGCTGGCGGCGTTTGACTCCAAAGAGAAGAAGGCGCTGCGGGTGGGTGGGCAGCATGGGCCGCGGGCCCAGCGCAAGCGCCGCACTTGCTGCAGATGCGGGTTGCGGGGCTGCCAGGCTTGCGTGCAGGCGGCTGGCGGCACGCAACACGCAACGCTCACTCTGCAGCAGAGGCAGCCAGCAGAGCACGGTCTGCCGCATGCCCCTCCATTCGCCCCGGCCGCCATGTGCTGCAGCCTGCCGCATGCTCCTCCACTTGCCTTGGCCGCCCTGTGCCATCCCTGCGCCCCTGCAGGAGCTGGCGGACCGGGAGACGGCGCTGGCGGGCAAGGAGTCCAGGCTGGCGGCGCAGCATGCTGAGCTGGCAGAGCGTGGTGCAGCGCTGGAGGCGGCCAAGTCGCGGCTGGAGGCCGACCGCAGGGCGCTGGAGCAGCGGGAGGAGAGCCTGCAGCAGGCGCAGGCAGAGGTGGGGGCCGGGCGGACGGCTGCTGCCACCCCTGGTCTGGCTGGCTGGGCCCGCAGTGGCAGCCGCAGCCTGCCCGTCTGCGGCACACGCCACCTTGCTTCTTGTCCCGTTACCTCGCTGGTGGCTGCCTGTTCCAGCCTGGCCTCTGTTTTCTCACCCACCCCCACCCCACCCCCCCCACCCCGCCTGTGCAGGTGCGCAAGGCGCGCACCAACCTGGAGCTGGCCAGTTCCGAGCTTGATGACCGCCAGAAGCGGACGGCGCACAAGGAGGCGCGGGCGGGCGACCTGGAGGCGCAGGTGGGAATGGGTGGGTGGGGATTGCGGAGCAATTCAGGAAATGCCTGGTGGAAGGCAAACATGCAGGGGGGCTGGCAGCCGGGCCGCGCGACTGAGCGCCGGCAGGCGCCCCGCGCCTGGCTCCGACGCCGTCCCCGCAGCCGCTGTACATGATGTTGTGTTGCCGCCGCTGCAGGCTGAGGAGCTGCACACCCGCCTCAGCCGGCAGAGCCTGGAGCTGAGCGAGGCCATCGCCGCCGCCAAGGCGAGGGAGGCGGAGGCGGCGCAGCAGCTGAGGACGGCCGAGGGCAAGCTGCGGGATGCAGTGCAGCGGGATGAGCGGTGAGCTGGTGGGGCTGGACTGGGAGGTGGCGTTGCGCGGCCGCGCAACCCAACTCATCCCGATGAGAGCTAGCCAGGCAGCCAGCGAATGCAGGCCGGCTTGCTCGGCGAGCCGCCGCTCACAGCGCCCCTGCTCCTGCCGCCGCCGCTGCAGGCACGCCCAGGACCTGGCCAAGTGGGAGGCGGCGGTGGGCGAGGCGCGGGCGCAGCAGGCTGCGGCTGCGGCGGCGGCCCACGAGGCGCAGCGCGCGCAGCAGCTGGCGGAGGCCAGCCGGGGCCTGCTGGCTGAGCTGGAGCGCGCTCTGGATGCTCGGGAGTCCAAGCTGCAGGACAGCTGGAAGGCGCTCAAGGCACAGCTGGCCCACGTCGGGGATGGCGGCGCGGGCCTGCTGCTGCACTCGGACCAGCGTCTCAAGGTGGGGTCGGGCTGGCTTGCAGCCGTGCAAGGGCTTACACCAGCCCCTTACACCAGGGTGTCACCAGGAGGCAGCTAGCAGCCTGCTCCGTGATCCTGCTTCAGCCGCCTGCTCTGCTCCTGCTCGAGCCGCAAATGCGAGTGCTGTCCGCCCCATGCCTGCAGGACGATGCCCAGGCGACGGCGGTGGAGGCTTCGGGCCGCTCCCCCTCGCCGCTGCCCCCCGTCAACGCCTCCTCCGCCGCCTCTCCCGACCTCGTGCGCCTGCTGCACCAGCGCCGCACACAGCTGGTGGAGCGTGAGACGGCGCTGCAGCGCTGGGTTGTGGCCCTGGAGCTGGAGGCTGCACGGCAGGGCGCCGCCGCCAAGCAGCTGGCGGCGCAGGAGGCCAAGGTCGCCAGGCTGGCGTCCGAGGCAGGCGAGGGCCGGAGCTCGGCGCAGGCGCTGCTGGCGGAGGTGGCCGTGCGCGAGGAGGCGCTGCAGCGCCAGGCCGCGGCGCTGGAGCAGCAGCATGGCGCGCTGCAGGCGGAGCAGGAGGTGCAGGCGGCAGAGCGGGCCTCGCTTGAGGGCGCGGCTGCCGAGTTGGCGGCACGCGCCGGCGCCATAGGCAGGCGCGAGGCGGCGCTGGCGGCCAGCGAGGAGCAGTGGGATGGCAAGGTGCAGGCTGCAGAGGCGCAGCTCAAGGTGGGTTGTGCCAGCTGCTGATATCGTGCCGGCCAGAAAACGCGCATCCTGCTGCCGGCGTTGGCTGCCTGTCAACGTCTGCCTGCTTGCCCACGCTCCTGCTTCCGCCTGCCTCCCTCCGCCTGTCCTGCCAGGCTGCCAGCGAGGCCGCTGCCAAGGCGCAGAAGGAGCTGCATGCGGTGGAAGTGAGGGAGGCGAAGCTGTCGGAGCGGGAGAGCGCTGTGGCGGAGGCGAAGGCCAGCCTGGCGCAGCGCGCACAGCAGCTGGCCGCCGCCGAGCGCGAGGTGGCAGAGCGTGCGCAGCAGCTGGACCGCTCGGTAGCGCAGGCGGAGGCGGACCGGGCCTCTGCCGCCGCTCAGCGCGAGGAGCTGGCGAGGCAGCGCGTCGAGGTGGCAGACGCGCAGCAGGAGGCGCAGCGCAGGCTGCAGGCTCTGGACCAGCGGGAGGCTCAGCTGGCGCAGGTAGGGCTCTGCTGGATTGACGCCAGCTGCGGCGTGTGCCAAGCAGCTTGCAGCCGCGCCTGCAGCAGCTTGCATCATGCCGTGCACAGCAGCAGGCTGTGCTTTCCGCTGCCAACCCTTGTCATCTTGTCCCTCCCGCCTGCACGTGCTGCAGCTGGGCAAGTCTCTGGACGCGCGCCAGGCTGAGGTGGCTGCCGCAAGCCACAGGCTGGAGCAGTTGAAGCTGCGGGAGGCTGAGCTGGCAGGGCGGGAGGCGGCCCTCGCAGAGGAGCAGCAGCGCCTGCAGCGGGAGCTGACCGCCCTGGCTGACGGCAGGCAGCGGCTGCAGGCGGAAGAGGCGCGAGTTCCGCAGGCAGCGGCGGGGGTTGGGGAGCGGGAGGGGGAGCTGTCTGGCAACCAGGAAGCGCTGCAAGGCCTGCTGCGCCCAGGTGCACCACCGCGCGAAAGCGCCCAAGAGCGCGCGGCGGCCGTGTTTGAGGCCGAAGCGCATCTGCAGAAACGGTGAGTGAGCCGCTTTGCGCCGCTTCGGTGCTTGCTGGCAGCGCATTTCTTAGGCTCGCCAGCCAGCCACGCTCAGGCTCAGCACGCCCTTGCTGTGGTGCCTCATGTTGCCTGCCATTGATGCTGAGCACGCTGCTGTGCCTGCTGCCGCTTTCCTGTGTGCAGCTTTGAAGAGTGCGCCGCTCTGGAGTCCCGGCTCAAGGAAGCTTAGGCGCAGCTTGCCGCCGACAAGCTGGCCCTGCAGCTGGCGCAGCAGCGGGTGCAGGTGGCAGAGGAGAAGGCTGCTGCGGCCCTGGCGGCGGCGCAGGAGCAGGCTGCGCGCGCCGATTCGGAGCGCGCCTGGGTGCGGCAGCAGCAGGAGGGGCTGACCCCGCGCCTGGAGAGCACCAGCGCCCTGCAGGCGGAAGCCAAGCAGCGTGCGCGGGAGCTGTCGCAGCAGGCTGAGGAGCTGCAGTGCCAGCGCCAGCAGCTGGACGCTGAGCGCGGCAGCCTGGAGAAGCTGAGGCAGCAGCTGGAGGCCAGCCAGGCGCAGGCGGACAGGACGCTTGCGCAGGCGGCCGAGGTGGCGGCCCGGGAGCAGCAGCTGGCTGCCAAGGAGCGGGCCGTGGTTGAGCAGGAGGCAGCGCTCAGGACGCGGGAGGCGCAAGTGGCGCAGGTGGGTGCCACAGGCAGCTGCAGCAGGGCCCTGCAGGGCCACGCAGGCGGTCGATTGCTGCGGCGGCGGCACGGTGCTGCGCAGCTGCGTCGTTACTGCCCTGGCCGGCTTGGGCCTAGCATACTGATTTTGCTGCCTGCATTGCAGGCTGAGGCTGCGGCCGCCAGCGACCAGCAGCGCCTGGGCGGGCTGAGCCGGGAGCTGGAGAGCCGGGCGGCGGCAGACGGCGATGCGCTGCGGCGCCTGCAGGAGACGCTAGCGGCACAGCAGGAGGATCTGCAGCAGTGGGTTGGCGGCTGCCTGCGCCTGTCGCCTGGCTGGCCGCCAAGCGTGGACACTGGCCGGGCTGCCTGGCTGGCTGGCTGCCTGGCTGGCTGAAGGAAGTATGGCTTGATGGCAACCAGTGCTGCATGCCTCAGCTGTGCCTGCCGCGCCTGCTGTGCCTGCTGCCTGCAGGGCGCAGCGCGAGCACAGCGCCAGCAGCGCTGAGCTGGCGCTGGAGCGCGAGGCGGTGCGGCGGGAGCGAGAGGGGCTGGAACGGCGGGCGGAGGCGCTGCAGCAGGTATGCAGGGGGTTGCTGCCGCACTGTGGCACATGTTGAGTGCTGAGGCGCGCGTTCTAGCTTCATACTGTGCCAGTGTCTGCGGCAAAACACCCGAGTGCCGCCGCCGCGACTGCGTTTGGGCCCCGCAGGAGCTGTGTGTGCGCAAGGCCGCCCTGGATGACCGCGAGCAGCGGCTGATTGCTGCCGAGGCGGACCTGCGGTCGGCACGTGGTGAGCAGGAACGCGCAGCCCGGCAGCTGCAGCAGGCGCAGCAGGAGGCGGAGGCAGCGCGCGCCGAGGCGGAGGCCGCGCGGCGGCGGGCCAGCAGCGAGGCGAGCGCACTGGAGGGCCGGGCGGCCGGCGTGGCGGCCGAGGCGGCGGCGGCCTCGGAGCAGCACATGGCGGCCAGCTCGAGGCTGCGGGATGTGGAGCAGCGGGAGGAGGCGGTGTTCAGGGCGGAGAGGGAGGTGGCCACGCTGCAGGGGCGGCTGGAGGGCCAGCAGGCGGAGCTGGCTGAGAAGGCGTCGGCGCTGGCGGATGCCGCCGCGCGGCACCAGGCCGAGGCGGCGGCATTCGAGGCGCAGCGCCGCGCTTGGGTGGACGGCGAGGCGGGGCGGCGGGAGCTGCTGGCGCGGGAGACGGAGCTGCGGGAGGAGGCAGGTGAGGCACGCGGGTTTGCAGGTTTGAAGCTGGGTCTGTGGCTGTGGCTTGCGCAGCACCAGGCAGACACATGAACTGGTAACGAGTTTGTCTTGGTAATGCTGGCTTTCGGTTGCATGTCCGCCCACCATCTCCCACACTTCCCTGCACCGCCCAACGGCGCCCTGCACAGCAGCCGACCCAGCGCTGCCGCACATCCTCGCCGCCGCCCCGCCCCTGCAGAGCGCCTGCGTGCCAAGGCTGCCGCTGTGTCCGCTGAGTCCTCTGAAGCGGCGGCGCTGCAGAAGCAGCTTGTGCAGCAGGAGCGGGAGCTGGCGCGGCAGGCCGCCCAGCTGGCCAAGGAGGCTGCGGAGGTGGATGTTCGGGCCCGGGAGTCCAGCAAGCACCTGGGGCAGGTGGGAGCGGCTGCCAGCGTGGGGCGCCAGACGCAGCATCCGGCAGGCGCAGCTTCTTGTGCTGGGGCATGCTCTTGTCTATGCTTGCTTCTGCTGCCTGTCCCTTTCTCCCTGCCGCTGAGAGTCGCGGGCTATTCCCCGCCTCGTTCGCTGCAGGCTGAGGCCACGCAGGCGGTGCTGGAGCGGCGGGCAGAGGAGCTGAACGCTGCCGAAGTGCGGGTGCGGGAGCTCCAGGTGTGCAGCATGCCTGGCTGCAGGCTGTCTGACAGCAGGTGGACCGCGGGGAGCCGTCGGCAGCTCTTCTGCTCGTCACACCGCCGCCTGCTGTCCTCTAATGATGCCGCTGCTGCCTTTCCGCCGCGGCCGCCGCCTCCCGCCCGCTGCGCAGGTGCATGTGGAGCAGCAGATGCGCGCGCTGGAGGGGCGCGAGGCGGAGCTGCGCACGATTGAGGTGAGCTGGCGGGGCAGCTGCCGCTGCGGGAGACGAGCGGGCACTGCCCCCTTTCTTGTACCCATGCCGCGGTGTTGGCTGGTGCGCCCCCTGGCCCACACACATGCCCCCATGCCCTGCACCTGCTGCTGCAGATCGAGTCTAAGACGTTGCACAGGCGGGAGCAGCTGGCAGCAGAAGAGGAGCGGCGCCTGCAGCAGCTCGAGAGCAAGCTGACGGGTGCGCCCGCCGGCAGCGACTGAAGCGTGCATGGTGCAGGCCGCTGAACCTTACAGCCGCGGCGGCATGCGCTGGCCGCTTACCATGCAGCGCTCTTTCTTTCCTCCCTGCCCGCAGCCAAGGAGCGTGCCGTGGCTGAGCAGCAGGGGCAGGTGCAGGCGGCACGCGCCGAGGCGGAGCGAAAGCTGGATGCCGTCAACGCTCGGCTGCGGGGCGTGGCTGAGCGGGAGCGGGAACTCGATGCCCGCCAGCAGCAGCTTGTGCAGCAGGTGGAGCAGGCGCAGGCGGAGGTGGAGCAGCAGCAGGCCGAGGCGGCGCGGCAGCTGGCGGCGCTGGCGGCACGGGAGCGGGCCGTGAAGCGGCAGGAGGATGGGCTGGAGGGCGTCAAGGTGGGCGGCGTGCAGGCGCAGGCAGCTCCTTGAATCCGTCCTGCCCTGGCCACATCCTATCATTCGATCATCCTATCATTCTTCTGTTCCTTCTCATTCTGTTCATCCTATCTTCTATTCTTCTATAGAACTGCATGCTGCAGCGCTCTCGTCCGTTTGCTCCCAAGAGGTGCACCTCTCCCCGCTTGTCCACCCGCCGCCCACCAGCTGTGTGCTTTCCTCCCGTGTGCAGGATGCGTACGAGCGGCTGGATGCGCGGGAGCAGCGCACGCGGCAGCAGGAGCAGGAGCTGGCTGAGGCCAGGCAGGCGGCGCAGGTGCGTGTGGCGAGCTGGCGGGAGTGGGCATGCGGCATGCGCCGTGCGCGCGTGCTTCTGCTGCAGCAGCTGCTGCCTGTTGCTGCACTGCTGCTGCCTGCCCGTTCACCCGCGCCCGGTGCCGCTGCGCCTGGGTGCTGCCTGCAGGCCGACTTGCAGGCTGCCGACCTGGCCAAGCGCAGCCTGGAGGCTGAGCGGCAGGAGCTGGCGCAGCTGCGGGAGGGGCTGCGCCAGCAGCAGGCTCAGGCAGCGGCAGAGGCCGCACGCCTGGCAGAGCTGCAGCAGGTGGGGCTGGGGTGGGGCGGGATGGGGTGCACCGCTAATCATGGGAACTTCTGCTGCTGGGACGCGGAACGCTGCTGGTCCGCCTGCCTGCATGCCTGTGCCGCCTGCTGCTCTTACTGTGCCTGGCGCTGCTGAGCCGCGCCATTCGCCCGCCAACGCCATTTGCCCGCAGCGTGAGGCGCGGCTCAAGCAGCGGGAGGCCGACGCGGCGGCCTCGCAGCAGCGCCTGGCGGCCTCGCAGCAAGAGCTGGCTGATGCGGAGCACCGCCTGCGGTCTGGCGCCGATGGCGTGGCGGAGGCAATAGTGGCGGAGGCGCGGGCGGAGGCGGACGGTATCTTGCAGGCGGCGCGGGACGAGTGCCGGCGGGCAGAGGCGGACCTCCGGGCGCTGCGGGAGCAGCTGCAGGAGGCGGAGGGCCGGGTGCAGCGGCGGGAGCTGGAAGTGCAGCAGGCGGCGGCGGAGGCGCGCAGCGCGGCGGAGGCGGCGGCCGCCGAGCAGCGGCGCGCGGCCGAAGCCTCGGCCATTCAGGCAGAGAAGGAGCAGCTCCTGCGCAACAGGTGGGTCGCTGGCTGGGCGAGGACAGCTGGCTGTGTTTGTGGAAGAGGAAGCGCCGCCTGCCAGCGCAGCAGGTTGCACCATGCAACGCCGAGCTCCGAGCCGAGCACTGCTTGGCACGAGTTTCCGAGCTGCCTTGAGCGGTCCTGCTGCCTGCTGTACTGCTGTACTGTTCAGGGAGGAGGTGGCGGCGGGCAAGGAGCGGGAGCTGCAGCGGCGGGCGGCGGCGCTGGAGGGGGCAGAGCAGCGCATGGCGCAGCTCACGCGCCGCCTGGAAGCTGACCTGAAGCTGGCCGCCTCTCCGTCGGCCGCCGCAGCCGCCGCAGCCGCAGCAGCAGCCACAGCGGCTTCGAGCGGCGGCAGCCAGCCGCGGGCCGGCTCCGAGGGCTTTGGCTCTGTGCTCCACTCAGCTAGCAGCCAGCGCGGCAGCCAGTTCACGGCAGGGCCTGCCGGTAGCATGAGCACCAAGGCGCCGCTGCCCAGCAGGCTGGGCAGCCAGCCGCCGCCGCGGCAGCAGCAGGCTGCCACGCCGTCGGCGGCGGGGGCCGGCAGCGGGGCCAGCCTGGCCACGGGGGGCACTTATGCCACCCCCGCCAGCTCTCTGCTGCAGCGCTCTGCCAGCTTCGACACCCAGCACACAGCGCCCGGCTCAACCACATCCACCGCCGGCGGCGGCGCGGCGCTGCGGCGTGACAGCCTGGCCTCGTCGTTTGACGCCACGCCCGACCGTGCGGCCACCCTGGGGCAGGCGCTGCGGCAGGTGCAGGCGGCCACAGACAAGGGCGCCGGCAGGCTGCAGCGGCTGGAGGGCATCGCTCGTGCCATCGCGCAGGGCGCCGCCGATGCGGCGTCGGTCGCGGAGGCCAGCCGGGCTGTGGCGCAGCTGCGGCAGGGGCTGCAGGAGATGCAGCAGGGGCAGGTGGGTGGGGCGGGTGGGGGCATGGTGGTGGGGCGTGCCTGCCGGCCTCCCTGCCGCCGCCATCTGCCAGCTGGAGGGCCCGGCCTGCTTGCTCAGCCATTTCCCAGCCTCGCCCCTCTCCCCCTTCTGCGCCTCACCCGCCTGCTGCCTGCCTCCTCACAGGCCGCGGTGGAGCTGCAGCTCAAGTATGCCAGTAGCGCGTCGCAGCTGGCGCAGCTGCAGCCGCAGCTGGAGGAGCAGCAGCGGCTGCTGGCGGCGTGGGAGGGGCGGCTGGGGCGCCAGCTGGAGGCGATCGTGGGCATGCAGAAGAGCTCGCTGGCAGCCCGCGCCTCGGGGGGCAGCAGCAGCAGCGTGAGCGGCAGCGCTGGAGGCGCGCGCGCGGCCGTCTCGGGGACGCCGATGGCTGCCACGCCACAGAGCAGCGGCCTGCGCTTCCGCCCGGCCCCGCCCAGCGGGCATTGACACATCAACTGATTACCGTGACCCAGGCCTCCTTGTTTTATTTGCCATGTTCCTTTTCCTTCTGCTTCCTGTCATTGGTAAACTGCACTGTGCTGACCAAGCACCGGGCTGCGTCATTCGACATCAGCGTCTGTTTTTTGCAGCAGATGGGCAACTGCACAAAACAATCAGGCGCCGTCTTGCGTCCCAGCACGGCGCCAGAGGCAGTCACCCAGGCAACATGGCAAGCGTAGGCTGCCGAAGTTTCTGCCTGGCGCAGAAGGACATGGTGCAACTACCAGTGCCGGCTTGCTGGCGCTCGGGGACTGGGGGCCCTGCAACTAAATTACAATGCGGTGGTCAATTGGGGCACCCACAGCCATCTGACCGGGCTGGGAAAGATGGTGTTGCGCCCAAGGGTGGAGAGGTGCGGTTAGTGTTCAGGGTTGGCCACCACGACCGCAATCTCAGCCCCACCTCAGTCTCCCGTCCACTGCTGCTGCTGCTGCTGCTGCTGCTGCTGCTGCTGCTGCTGCTGGCCCTTGGCGGCGCTCGCAGTGCCCGGCGTGATCCAGCCCTGCTGCACAAAGAAGTCGTGCAGGCTGCAGGGTGGGGAGGAGGAGGGGTGGCGGGACATGGCGGTTGCGGGACACGCGCATGCAGACGTGGCAGGTGCTCTCATGCGCTAACGGCGCTCCGCTTGATACCTCCGCACGCAAGGCAACGCTGGAGAACTGAATGCAAAGCCTGGCCAGTTACAGGCCCTACGCGGCCCTACACGCCCGCCCCCTACTCACCGCTGCATGCGCTGCGGGTCGACTTGGAAGGGCAGGCGCAGGATATCGGCGCGCGCCACGCGGCCCCGCTGCTCCTGCAGCTTCAGCGCGGCTGCCTTGACCGCCAGGTACTGCGCCGGAAGGTACCGCTCGGTGGCGCACAGCACGCGCTCCTGAAGGGGGCAGGCCAGGGCAGCGCAAGAAATGCGACGCCATTAAGGTAAGAGGCAGGCGCGAGTGAGGCACGAGGAATGAAGCGGTGGTGGTGTGCACACACTGCAGGGGCGGCGGGCACGTTGCCAGCACGCCTGGCCGGCTGCCCAGAGAGACACCCCCCGACGCTGCAGCGCGGCGCGGGGCGTGGGCGTGGGCAGCGCCCCCGCTGGCCTCACCCGCTGTCCCAGCGGCTCTGCATCCGGCAGTGAGGTGATGTCTAGCAGAACGCCGCGCTTGCTGCAGGGTGGGGGCAGGGGCAGAGCCCGCCCGTCAGCAGAGTGCGGCATCGAGAGGGAGGTGCCGGCCACTGCTGGCAGGCAGGGCCCCATTGCCGCTGGAGGCAGGTGCCGCCACAGCTGGGCTCAGCGGTGAGGTGCACCCGGCGGCGGCAAACGGAAGCATGCATGCATGCATGCAGGCAGGCAGGCAGGCAGGCAAAAACGAGTGAGCGGAGTGCAGTGCGGTGGGGAGACGAAGGGGCA